AGCGGCCCCGGCGGGCAGCACGTTAACAAAGGTGAGCGAGGAGAGACCCTGCAGGAAAAAACCCGGATTTTTTAACCTTTCCTTATACTTTGTGGAGAAATATTGGGAGCTCAAGATGCTAATTCTTCATTGTCATCACCCTGCGTTTTAACACAGCTTCTAAGTCTTCACAGCGCTGGAGACCAGTGGTACCATACTGGATTCTCCGAGGAGCACTGTCACTGGGATCGGTGCTGCCGCACGTGTCACACGAAACATCACTGTGTCTGGTCTGTTTTCATTAATCAAACGTACAAGCCAGCAGGATTCTGAAACTTCACAGGGCAATAATCTCAGCTTAATTCAGATAAACTAAAAATACTTCCTGTTCTGCCTTTGCCATTAAAAAGAAGGTAGCTAGCGACTGGCAATAGCGATAAATCTTGTCGTGTCTAGAAAGGCAAACATTATGACAGTCTCTGTAAAACCTGGAGTTTGTCTCATAGAGCGGTGTGGAAAAATACAGCAAGAAAAAAATTGTGATCATTTCAGGAAATTAATACTGGAATCATCCTGTGCTCAAAGCCAGCAGTGAACAGACTGAATTATCTCCTAAACTCAGGAGGGCGAGCCGTTACACTGAATAGATGCTGTTTTTCCTCCCAGTGAATACCAAGGCAGAAGTGCGGTTCCACCTGGCGTCAGCAGACTGGATCCCAGAAGAGACAAGACAAAAAATGGCATCGATGGTAACTGCCCTCCCCCTTCCAGCCAGACTCTCAGGCAGAACGTGACTCTAACGAGGTTTCAGTGATCAGGTCACGTTTCCCCCCTCTTTAGTACAGGAATAAGATAAGCCGAGCTGGTGAGCTGATCGTGAACTCTGAAGAGAGTCGCTACCAAATGAGGAATCTGGCAATTTGTTTGGAAAAAATCAGAACCATGGTCACGGAGGCTACGGAGAAGCCCAAGGTGGTGTCCAAGGAGACTACACAGAGACTCATAGAGAGGTAGCGTTATTGAAATGGCCTTTATGTGAGATGGGTGCAGAATTATCACGATCAATGATTTAGTTCACAGCCTCTTTAAGCAATCTTCTACATACTCATTTGGATTTCCTTTTAAAAAAAAAAAATATCACTGCTCCATTAGGTCTAAACTGCTCTCCTGGGTTGCATCCCGAGAACAGGGACTGGTTTTTATGTCTGTGGGCATTTGTCAGCTCACTAAATCTACATTGTAGCTCTGCTCAAAGGTGAATATTTAAATGTTTTATTTGTACACTAAAGGATCTTTTCATTTTGTTTTAGGGTGGAAAAAATGAACCGTGAACGACTACGACAGAAAAAGATACACTCAAATATAAAACAGAGCAGGAAGGCAGACTTTGACTGAGAACAGCAGAGATGGAAGTCCTTGGCATAGCATCCTTTTAAAGAAATGGCGTGGGTGCTGTAGATAATGCTAAACTTACGAGCTGGATTGAATAAAACTTGTCTAAAAATGTAAATAAAAAATATTTAACATCTTTCTTTGAACTGTGACAGCCTGTCAGTCATTTTGCAGAAAAATTACTGTTCAAGACAACCTAAAAATTCAGATTTTTGTCAGCTACTTTTTTTATTCATTGTCCCCTTCATCCAGCCCTCTGCTCTGTGAGAGCACCCTCTGCAGCAGATTTTGGGGGTAAGTGAATGCAGTCTAGCTGCATATCCAAGTGGCAAACAGAGTATTCACCATTTCAAGCAAATTATTTTCTCAGATTTTAGTTGATTTTTTTTCCCCCCCTAACCAAAGAAAGTGCATGTCATTTTGTTAAATTAACCTAAAGCCGTGGCAGAAGTTTGGCAGGAGGCAGTTGGAGGCTTCTGGCCTTTGAGGTGGAACAGCAAAAAAACCTCGGGCTGAGTCTGACGGGCATCAGGAGCCACTCGTCAGTGGACCGTGTTTAAACAGGATGAAGGTCTGTGGTGTAACGTGGTGGGTTTCACCACCGCCAGATCACTTCACTGGGGGGGCGGGGGGTGTGGTGGTGTCTCAAAAGATACAGAAATTACCCTTTTTTCATCTTCTTGTGGGGCCCCAGTGGCCTAATGGATAAGGCACTGGCCTTCTAAGTCAGGGATTGTGGGTTCGAGTCCCACCTGGGGTGAGGAGAAGGGGTTCTGTTTTAGGCATAAAACCCAAATGAGAGGAAAATGCTCACTGCTGATCACTGGCGTTAAATTGGGGCACAGCGAGGTGCGGGGGGAGCTCTGCTCTGGGTACGCAGGGCTCTGCCACAGCCAGTGCCCAGTTTGAGCCCCCCCCCTTACACAGCCCAGATCAGCATTTACATCTGCAAAAAGCAGAGAGCTCAGCTCCCCCATCCTCCCCACAACGGGCTGGCGGGGGGGTGCAGGAGCCCAGCTCTGAGCCCCTGCCCCAGGCTGGCCACCTCTGCCGCTGCGCAGCCAGGAGAAGAAACTTCTCTCCTGCATAAACCTTTTCTGCATGGGAAGGCGGGGGGTAACTGCCAGCAACCCCTCTCATGGGCAAAGGTGTCTGCAGCTCCACGCCGTGCCCTGGCCCTGCCAAGCAAGGGGGCTGTCACTGCCTCGGACATCTTTCTGACGCTGAGAATCATCACACGAACATCGGTTGGGACCTCTGTGACCAGGAGACCTCGCTGCCACGTTATCACCCACTTCTCGGGTCTCCCTCCCCACGTTTTACAGCAAGATTGGCAAAATTTTGCTTCAAGCCAGCACACGACACCAGGGGTTGGAGGAGCTGGACGCTGCAGAGATTAAAAACATATTCCAAGATCTCACCTGTTATTACGCCCAGGAACCTGCTTCTTGCTCACATCACACCTGCACCACAACCAGGGGACGGAGGTGCCTTGGGGTGCCCCAGACAGGGGTGATCGCCCCGAAGAGCAGCAGGAAACCCCCCCTTCCCCAAGCCGGGGCACCCCAGGTGCTGCCGTGGATCTCGCGGGTGGAAAAGAGTCACCCCAGATGGGACTCGAACCCACAATCCCTGGCTTAGGAGGCCAGTGCCTTATCCATTAGGCCACTGGGGCTCCGCAAACGCTCGATTTTTGGTGCTGTCACTTAACTCTCTCCTGGCCGGAGGGCAGCGTGCGGG